AAAAAGGTAATTTCACTGATTGATTTCTTCACAAAATTAGCAAAAATAAATTCCAAGTGAAAATAAAGTTGTTTACAGTAATTCAGATCAACACATATTTTTTCTTCAAAGCATTTTTTCTCAATAAATTTGACAAGATTAATATAAAGCTGAATATTTGTATACAGTCACAATATTCAATCCATGGAAACATAATTTTGTGTTAAATCTTGTATAAACAAAAATAAAGATGAAAATCTGATCTCATTCTGAAACATTTAAAGTTCTATAAATAAACAATATGTTTCTAATTATTAAATATATTTATTCATTATTGCTTCTATTCTAGTAAAATAACAAAACATTTTAAATTGTCATGTGAACAATTTAGATGCTGAAGTGCACGCATTTCTAACTAGAGCAAGTAAAATAGAACAAAAATCTCTGAATATGTCCCTGCAAATGCTGCTCTAATAAAAGCATGTGTAAACTGGAAATCTATTTACCACATCCAATTTGTAGGCCACCATACTGTTACAGGGCATTTATGTAACCATGCGTGCCTATTACAGAGCAAATATAGATAGGAAGTCAGGTTTAGTAAAAATCTAAAGCTCAATATGAGAACAAGCCAAGTCAATTATTATCGATTACTGGTATGTTATTTTGTTGGAAATCATTAATTATGCAAAAATGGTAGTAAATATACACTAACTGCTAATTAGAAGACAAATAAATTACGTTTCATTTATAAGAATGATAGAGCTTAACAAGTAATCGATCTCAGCATTGAAACATTAGGTGCAGACAGTTTTCTGACACTGACAAGCGATTCCTCAGTCCTTAAGAATCATCCAGCCATGTGGTAATAATAATACAGAATGCATTTTCAAGCGAAGATGAAAAATAAAACAGTAAATTACATTCAGAATCATCAAATGTATGACTCAACGAACACCAATCACCCAATTACTCTGAGCTCCGTACACACTGTATATCAGAACAAAATAACAAAAAATAACGTTACAATGTTTGACACACCACAACCTCAATTAAAACTAGCAGAGTTTGATTGAGCATTTCAAGAAACAAGAGTTTGTTATCGCAATAATATCACAGAAATCATTTCCTATCTATATGCAAATTCTGGTGAGTCATCATGGACTTACTTGATGCTGTTACAACTTATTGATGCTAGTGATGAAACGCAAACTGCTATCCAGAGTTCATCCATGGTCCATCACCTTTTGTAATTATTCACCGTGAGTTTTTGATCATCATCTTCAAGATGAACAGCACAAACGTGATCAAGAATTTTCCTATTTGTTAGCAAAATTAACTTTTATTGATGAAATGGCTTGTACATTGTATATTTTTTTAAATTTGCAGCTGGCGAATAAAATTCAAACTGAATAGTAATTAGTTTAATATACTTGGAATGGATGATGAATCAAATTCAATACAGACTGTATAAGATTGACAAACACTGCATGCTATGCTTCATAATTACTAGTATATAAAACAGTTAATCACATAATTATCAAAAACATGCATCATTGCAAATTTCACTGCGGTTCTTATAGTTGTACTCTAGGAGCATTCATGGATTATTATTATGGTCTTGGAAACTATTATGCGGAATATTGATCATGTGACAGAGATAGTTTTGCTTAATTACCATATAATTGTGTGTTTGAATGCTTCTTTC